GAGGGGGAGAGAGAGCTGTGGTTATATCCTTTGTGCTAGTGAGCGAGAGGACACTCCAAGAGAGAGAGAGAGAGAAACGAGTCTAGCTGCGACGGCGGTGATGACGCATTGTAAAGCCTTTTAAGGGTGCAGGGACTGCACGGCGTTGAGGGAGCTTGGCGCTCGGTGCTGTACACTTTTGTGGGGCACGTCAGAGTTGCACTGGATAAAGAGAAAGAGGTGGAAGGGTGCGGGGGGTTCGTGTTTGTGGGGCCTGATGATTCCGGAGAAAGTTTTTTACTGATGCTTTTTTTTCAAGACAAGAAGGTAAAGTCACACGAGACAGAGAGGCCAAGTTGGTATGTAGCGATTATGAGAGCTTTCAGAGCTACATGTGGCTCAGCTTACAGCGCGATGAGTGATCTTACCGATGATGTATAATATTATCGACGTTTAAAAATACAATATTTTGCACTAATTTTTCATCTCCAGTCTATTCATAAATGAACATTCATTTTATTTTAATGGCTTGTATTATCCACAGGTTTATTTTCTTATTGTCGACGGTGTTTTTTTTTTATCAACCGCATTTGCTTCATGACAATTTCAATACAACGAACAATTAAGCAGATTCTTGTACAATAACTTGTACGTGGGGCGTNTTTTTTTTTTTTTTTTTTTTTTTTTTTTTTTTTTTTTTTTTTTTTTTTTTTTTTTTCTTCTCCTTTGGACGGTGAGACAGGAAGGAGAGCGCGACTGCCCCGGGACACGTTTTTCTCCTCGTCTCCTCCCTGCCATTTCCGTTTTATCGTTTCCTCCTGTGTAGCCATACATAAACACATTTGACGCGACCTTGGCTCATATAAACATGCACATTGAAAATAATACCTCGGTTACACAGAAATCTCGAAAAATGAGGTGAGTAAAGCACGTGCCAAATTACACGAGTCGAAGCTAAAAACTATATGGATTTTCCCACGCCCCGCACAAGGGTCAAGTGTCCCGATAACCCCCGTGCAGGTGTGTTGTATCAACCCATGCCTTACTTTTTTTTTTTTTTTTCCCTTTTTTTTTCACCCCCAAAATTCACCGACGCGCGTACACTCGACTTTCAAATTGATCCTTAATCTTTTTCCCTCGGCCTCCCCCGTCGACGAGTGCGCGTATCACGTACAGGGGTACGAGTCAATCGTCACGGTCAGGTGCGCCCTCCCTATATATATATATACATACATATATATATATACGCACGTACACCCGTGTGTTCTTTCACGTACGCTGTATACCCACATGTTATATTCGTGCAGTACAGGCCTCAGGTGGGCAGAGAAAGAAAGAAAGAAAGAAAGAAAGAAGGATCGTACGGAGGGAAAGTGAGGCCACGCTCAGGAAAGGCTTCGAGTAGGCGGGGAGGGTAATTACCATAGACGGTGCGGTAAATATATAGGGAAGGAAGGAAGGAAGGACAGGGAGAGAGGAGTAGGCGGGGAGAGATAGCAAAAAAGTAAGTAGAGGAGGTAGACGAATGGTCAGCCCTCCGAGATACACGTTATACAGATTGTCGTGGGCGCGCGTTCAAAGGGATCGGGGTTTTTCGGTTCAACGCAGGTTGCGCAGTTGGGATTGGTAATCTATTAGTCACCTTTTTTCTTTCATTCCTCTCTTTCTCTTCGGTATTTGGATCACACGCGCGGGATCGATTGCTCCCGCAAGTGTACCAAGGACACTCGAAGCACGTACGTTCCAGCCACTGGTACTCAACACGCCCCGTCTCGGTCGTAAATTTGGGGGCTGCATAAAACCGAGTGGAAAATCGATGTACTTGACGTCTTACTTGTATATGCACGTGTACAAGCTTGCAAGACGAACGAGAACGAAGAAGAAGAAGAAAGCCGCAGCAGTGATATAAAGAAAACAGGTTGGAAAAAAAAGTAGGTGCGAGGCTGCCCAAGGCGGGGCCGGTAAATAATATTCTACACCAGAGGGGTATATGTGTACATGTGCATGTATACACACGTGCGAGAGGCGACAACGAAGGCGAAGCAAAAAAAAAAAGTGGTCACCGCCTGGGGCTCGAAAAGACGCGAGTCTCACCCGCGCTCACACTCCCAAAGGGGTGAGAGTATAAAAATATGTATATATATAGATAGCAGCTATATAGCGTGTCTGTGCACCCGATGATACACACACGCGTGATCCCCCGTACAACCGGCGTGTGGCTCGAGAACGTGGCGTTGCGTGACTTCCTGACGTCCCGCTGTGCCCCTACATACATATACAACAGCACAGAGAGAACAACTCGACCCTGCGCCCATTCTCTCTCTCTCTCTCCTTGTTCCTTTCGTCTTACTCTTCTCACTCGCTCCGAGTCACTTATCTCTCTCGGCTTATTTTCTTTGTTGCGAGTTTTCTACCGCTCGTAAGCTCGTTACTTTCCCTTCGGCCTCTCGCTACTTCTCCGACTGTGACTCCTCTCTCCCTTTTTCTCCGTCTTTTCCACCCCTCCCCTGCCCGTTCCTCATAACACGTATACACCTCATTGTTTAGCCATTACGAGCTCGTTTGATACTTGGCGGTCATTCGAGTCGTATATATATCTTCCAGACGAAGGAAGCTTGCAGGTACGTACAAGTGGTGTGGTCTTTGTATCTTTGGTTGAAGAAAATAAGCTAAATCTAGAGTAGAAAGTAAAAAAAAAAAAAAAAATAAATAAAAATTTTCATTTCCGTGATAAGATGAGCAAAAAAATGAACATCACACCGTAGGCAAGTACAAGTACGAGCCAATAACCCCTCGAAAAAAAAGGGGCACCCGCCGAGAAAAAACACACGCAGTGAGGTATACAGTCGAGCAAAACCCAAGGAAGCGTGTATTACGTGTACCGAGTCGAGACAGCATCAAAGAATAACACACACGAGACACGCTCAGCTCGTCCTGTTTACGTGTACATACCCACGATTGTGTATACTATATGTATATATATGTGTGCGTCAAGCAGTTTCATCTCAAAGCTCGTCCTTTGTAATTTCAATTTCACGGGCCGGCAGTGGTGCCGCGCCGGCGGTCAGCTTGCATTTGCCGACGTTAGCGCCCTTGTCAGCGACAGCCCCGTGTTACAAAAGCCCCCGAGGCTGGGTTCAAGTGAGAGAAAGAGATTGTGGTTAAATTAATATCCAGAGAATGAAAAAGACCGAGGGAGGGGCACAAGTGGTATAGCGGGTGACACTATAGAAAAGCACTTTAGAGTCCGTATTATAGTGTTTGAATTTTCTTAAGCTGCGCAAAGTTTTGGGATCGATGGCCATACGCATTTTTTATATCTTGGTAGGAGAAAAAAAGCTTTCCGTGCATATTACTGTAGAGTCATTTTTAAGACTCTTTGTACCTATTTTTTATACCACAAATTAAAGTCCATTTTAACTCATTTTCAATAACACGAAGTAACGTGTTTTTACGCTTTCAAGGATAAAATTACCATAACACTGAAAAATCAAAGTGAAAAATTGTGTGAATGAAGCTTAATTTTCCGAGCTATTATATATACAAAAGGAAGCAATGTACACCAACCGATAAAAAAAAAAAAAAAAAAAAAAAAAATCTAGTTACAATAACGAAAGATCCCAATTGGTTGGTACCATTATTGTTCGACCGCTTGCACCGAGCGAATTTTCATTACGCGTACAGTCTAATCGAAAACGATCATAGTTTTTCCAACCCCCATCCCGCTCTCGATGTATATATAACCCCTTGATTCATCCAGGCGTCGTCCCAAAATAAAACGTGCACCCCAACCCTCGTGTCGTTTAAACCTCAATCCCCCCCCTCCTCCTCAAAGAGTCACACCCACGCGAGCAAACACTGCCCAAATAAAACAGGCACTACAGCCCAAGCGCGAAACCTCGCACCTGGCCCCGAGGGCCTTCCCTATACAATACATATATACACATACCTGTATACGTATACGCGAAGCCAAAGCTCGGCTCGCTTATATAACGAGCGAAAGCCCGCTGGGCTTTAAATCTCGTTCTCTCTTCTTCTTAAGCTCAGGGTATGAGCAAACGCACGGAGCCTCAGGGCACTCGTCTTCGTCCTCCACGAAGGGGAGAACCCGTACACAAAGGCCCGCTCTCCGTCTTCGTCCTTTCAGCACGTATATATGTGTGTGTGTGTGTTTGTGTGTGTGTGTGTGTGAACACACGAGCCAACACACTTTTTTGTCGTCTCACCTTTGGTCGGTGCACTTTCCGCTTCTAGAACTGTATGGGGTCTCGCGCAACCACGGGGCTTTTCTTCATCTCTCTGTGTTTGCGAGCAGTGTGTGGGAGAGGCTCTCTCGAGAGTAATGGAGGGTTTTTAGGCCACGATTGTACTTTATTCCCGTCACCTCTCCTGCGAGAGCTTTCATGTGTTTTTGATTTCATAAGATGCATGTAATCATCGCGTATAATTATATACGTTCAGGCTTGGGCACGGATACTTTTTCAATTTATTTATTTATTTGTTTATTTTTTTTATAATATAATGCTTTAACAACACCAGCTTTCTCCAGCAAGAATAATATACTACAGTGTCAAAAAGAAAAAGAAGGAGTCAAAGTATTTGGAAAAGCATTAAAATACGTTACAATGAAATTTAATAACTAAAACTTATTCTAGTAGAAAAAAAAAAAAAAAAAGAAAAACGAAAACTAGAAGAATTTTCCAGCGAAGAGATTACAATTTATTTAGAAAAAAAGAAAAGAAAAGTTTTTAAAATTGTTAACGAACAACGTGTTATGAAAAGGAGATTGGCCAATCCGAGCCAGACAGCATGAATAAAAATTAACACCCAGTAGTGGCGCTAATGGTCGAACCGAGAGACTCTATTATACAGCGGGGGAGTATCTCGTAATTAAAACAACGGCGAAGACGCCATAAAAGAAATCATAAAGAATACAGCCCAGAGACGACGGTGGCACGGAGATGAATGTACAGTGTAAGAGAAAGAGTGGTAGAAAAAAAAAAAAAAATTAGCAAACTCACCCTGTCCAGGGGCTGGCGACGTGGCGTGGCTCCAGCCGCCCTTGTACGAACTACTGGCATCTGCAAGACAGAAAAAAAAAAAAAAAACAATTGAGAGTGTGGCGCTAATTAGATACGCCAGTGTATATCATTTGAGATGGGGAAGGAGGAGGTGCGCGCTGTCGTCACGCTCATCCTAATAATTGTCATCGTCGTTTAATGTCATGAAATATTGTCGAGCTTTCGCGAACAGTACAGGCGTCGGAATTAATGGTCCGTGGGCTGTCCTGGCGGTCATTTAGAGGTGTCAAGTAGGATTCATTGTCTTTATAATGGCTCGATCGTCAAAATGTATTTTTTTTTTTTTTTTTTTTTTCACATGAACATACTACACACTTTAAAACATATATTCTTACAACTCAATTCACAATTACAACTGCTTATGTCGCAGAGTACATGTATTATTTTGTCACAGGTGCATTGATAGATTAAGTACATTATTTAAACTTAAAGAATCGGGTTCTTTTCCACCACATCGTCATTCAATTGAATCACTTCATAAACGAAAAAAAATCATGGTTACGCTGTCATGCAGAGCAATAATTTTTATTCATCATCGAGTAAAGGTACACAAAACTGTAAGAAAACGATAGTCCGATGTACAGTAGTAGGATGGCGGAGAAAGGGAGGTAGGAAAAATCCTATGTAAATACCAATACACGCTCGGGCAGGAGGAAAAATTTCGTGCTAATCGCCAATGTCAACATTGACCGGGTCAATATGCTTTTTTTCTTTTTTTCCCCTTCTTCGGGATTCCCGAGGGTGCGATTGGCATACAGTGGGTGTGTATAAAAATCAAGAGGCATCGGACTGTCAGATACGGAGGCGATTTTTTTTATCGCCTCCGCTACAGTGATTTCATCCCCCTCGTCTCGTCGTCGTTAAAACGTATGTAAGCACTTGCTTAGACTAGTGTGCACCCTTTTTGTCTTCAGCCCATTGCCCACTGAACACGAGCTTTTTAGATTTATCGTAAACTCAAATAATTTTTTTTACGAAAATCATACCAAGCAATTGAAAATATTATTAAAAAAGGGACACGTGAACTTCCGTGAGACTTTTACTCGAGCAGTGAAAACCACAATGCAAATAAGTCTCGTAAAATTATTACACGTGCATTCCCTCAAAATTTTACCTGTCGGAATATTTTACAACAGTTTTTAACCAACAATGTCCAGTTATATATGTGCTGAGTGCACATTTCTCAACCACCGATTAAACTCGATAGTTTTTAAAATTTCCAAAGACAGAAAGTAAATAAGCCGAGGAAAGTAAATACCCTCCAAGTTGATCAATTTCACCGTAAAACTTTGTAAGTCCACCATTGTAAAAAAAAAACCACTCCATCATTTTACAAAATCCGGGAAAATCGAAGCAACGTCAGCTTCCAAAAAAAAAAAAAAAAATAAAGAAAAAAAAGTCCAGTAACAACCCCGTAGGCTCTCCCCTTCCACGCGCTGTGTCCACAGAGGGTCAGTGTTTATCGACAGATATATATTTTCATTTGGCAGTTATTGGCAAACGACGCCGGGGCACGACATCGGTGTAGCGCGTGTTTGCCCCGCCTCGCGTTCCCCGGGTCCCGCGAAAAACCCGTCGGCCGTCGCTCGAGCAAACACGCGGCGCTCCGGCAAGTCCATTAATGAAACCTCGGGTTTCACGTGCGTTTCGGGCTCTCGCCTTTCTACGCCCCCCCCCCCCCCCCCCACTGATCGCTCTCGGACGATGCGCTGAGTGCTCTTCTTTTCGGAAATGGATACCGTGTGTCCGCGTCTGTTTGCCTTGCACGGGGGGGCTCTCGTTTTCGGCACTTTCGGGAAAAAAACACGGCTGATCCTCGGGATCATCGGGGGTGAGATTTTTCTTTGTTCGGGGGTGTTTTCGGGATCGTTTCGGTCGATCAGAGCAGGGCACAAGGGGCCATTTAAAACATATATGTTTTGTCTTTACATGAGATCAGAGGAAGTGTTGATGCCAATAAACGCAATCGATGGGATGTGCGACTCAGGTGTCACTGTACAAAATAATCCATACGATTTTTGAAAATTATATTTTTATGTTTATTGTTAAGATCAATAATTTTGTAAATATCCCAGCGAGTGGGGCATGCTGATTTTATAATTGTATAAATCCTTTTTACTAATGGAATCTTACTACAGAGTATTCTTTTTTGTAAATGATAAAAAAAACAAAAAAACAAAAAAAAAAAAGAAACATAAATTAACCACTGGGCCAAGCATATTGTCATAGAATTCTTTATTTCTACTGATTTTTCGGTAATGAAATTCTTATGAATTTCATCAATCATCAAAGAGAGTTGCAGACACTTTGAAAAAATAAATTACTTTTCACAACAAATGTGATCCAAACTATCCGTCATTGAATAAATAATCTTGGATCGAGTAAGACAACAACAAAAATCCTAGCTAACTCACCCGATACCATATAGTTGATTCAAACGGAAAAAAAAAAAAAAAAAAAAAGGAAACAAACAAACAACGATAAAAACGTACCGGCGAACAGCATCGATAAATTGGTAAAGGCCGTGGTGCGCGGTAAATCGGCGGCGGTGCTGCCGCTGGCCTTGAGGTCCAGCATAGCTTGCCAAGCCCAGCCGCTCGAGGGGTCTGGCCCCGCGCCACCGGCTCTCGCGCCAGTAGCTGTGGGCCTCGGCTACTCTGTCTTACTTTCGACAGGTATCCCCCGCACTGTATACTCGATCAAACCGCACAAGACCCCATGCCCATTGTACCCGATAACTGTATTTCCACTTTTTTTTTTTTCAAGGTCTCGTTTTCGAGTGAAGCTGTAATTTTAAATGTAATGATTCTTCGCGATGTAAAAGAAAAGTTTGCCACTTAACGTGAAANTATTAACGAGCAATCGATTCCCGGGAAGAATCAATCTCTCGCCGATAGAGAGCTATGCGTGAAACGCCTAAGTAAAAAAAAAAAAAAAAAAGGGGGGGGGGTGTTTTGGGGGGGGCCCCTTTTTTTTTTTTTTTTTTTTTTTTTTTTTTTTTCTTTTCTTTTTCAACGTTATTATTGCACGGTAGCAGAATAACACCAGAGTTCCCTTTTAGCGTCCACCCTGTAAACTGCAATACAAACAGGATACCCCTTGTAGTCGTAGTCGTCGTCGCAGTGTCAGCGCGATCGTGCCCGTCTTGCACTTACCCCGCAACTGGAAGTGCCCGAACCGCCGCGAATTTCAAAAAGTCACCACACACGCGCCAAAGAGAGTGGGACGAGATACACACGCCCTACCCCACTAACACCACCAGACACCGACATGTAGACGGAGGGATGAAAGCACACACGCGCGCACACAAGATCCCCTTGCCGGAGGGTGGCCAAGTCTCGGAGAAAAGGTGGGGCACGAGGGAAAGAAACTCAAGACCCGCCCATTTCGCGCTGGGCTGGGAGGGGGGGTGGTGGTGGTGAGAACCCCGAGGTCGCGTAGGCGGTGCTTGGACTTGGCGCGTGCGCCCCTCGGACGTTGCCCCGTGCATGTAGGTATAGGTACGACACACGCGAGTATACGTAATAGAGGAAAGGTGGTGGTGCGCGACGACCTCGAGGCTGCTGCACTACTCGGAAGCACTACAGAGAAGTGGAGAGAGGGAGGGAGTGCTCTCATGTGGGCTAGCTTTGGCAGTTGAGGGAGGAAAAGAAGCGCCCTTTGAGGCAGACCAGGAAATTGTTTTAATTTGGGCCGGTTTCGCGCCAAAGCAGCGGTGTACAGGAGGCAGCTCAGTGAGGGGCGCTTTGAGGCTCGGGTGGAAAAGAGAGAGAGAGAGAGAGATGAACTTTGTCAGTTGGAGGAGGAGGTGGCGTTTCGGGGAACGGAAAGGCGCGGCGGCTGGGGTGTTTTGTCGGAGGAAATTCGCGAGGTTGTCGTTGGGTTATCGACTCGCCGTATATAGGGATGCTTTTCGAATCCCAAATTATTCGTCGACCCTTGGAAAAAAAAAAAAAAAAAAAAAAGTCCGAGAAAAAGCCCTCGCCATGGGTGCGGGTTATCGAGAGTGATTCATGGAAAAAAACGGAAAAAAGTAGAGTTTCGACAACCAAATTACGTACACGTGAGCGTATATTAGCACACACGAGCCGTATTGTGGCTTATTGCGTTGCGATCTGTACAAGCTCGCAAAGTAGGTATGTTATATGTACATATACATACACCGCGAACCCTCGGTGCAGGTGGGTGCACGAGGGCTGGCGTTAAATTTATGCAGAAACGAGAGTGAATGCGTACAATGAAGAAAAAAAAAAAAAAAAAAAAACGGCGACAGGTGGTGTCAGTCGGGGAACATGACACGTGAGTTTTCACTAACCGACGGCAGTACCGATACGTATACACATAATACCTAGATGCATCTTTGGGAAAATTTTGTTTGTGGGCCCTTTCGGTACACGGCAGTCCTTGTGTATATGGTTATGATCGAAGAGGAGAAGAAAAACCGATCATTCCATAAAAACCACAACAGCTTGAAGCGAAAAAGGTTACCGTAACCGGCAAGTGGACACTCATATCCGTATAGGCACACCCTCCCTCTGTGCATACATTAATTCAGCAAAAGAGGGCCCCGTGATTCATGCTACGTTACACATACATATACGCCCGTGTGGGTGCATACATTTACGGGTATCGTATCGAGCGAACCGATCGGGCCGATTAGATACACGGCAGTGCATGGGGTATATAAGCAAAAACACCTCGACCGCGTACGCGTACGGACAAGTACATTATAGTGTGTTGCACTGCGCGAGTGTACTCGATGAGTGTCTCGAGTGGGCTCCATATATGTATATATATACATAGATGCTAGATGTTATGGCGTATAGGGCAATGGATGCAAAAGAGCGAGGGCCCCTATTGTTTCCGAGGGTGGTGTGCACGTCACAAGTACAGCTGCAGAGTAAAATGAAATTTCTATTGGGTTATCGGCACAAGCCGCCGTGCGTGGTATTGTTGTAACTCGTTTGTTTGCTATGTTTTTCTTTGTTTCCAACAAACTG